GAGGAGGGAGAGGGAGAGGAGGAGAGAGACGAGAGAGAGCAGAGAGGGGAGACGAGAGCAGAGAGAAGAGAGGGAGAGAGAAGACGAAGAGAGAGGGAGAATGAGAGAGGAGAGAGGAAGGGAGAGAGAGAGGAGAGAGAGAGAGAGAGAGAAGACGAGAGAGAGAGAGGGAGCGAGACGGGAGAGGGGGGAGCGGAAGAGGGGAAGAGAGGGGAGAGAGAGAAGATGGAGAGAGAGACGGGGGGTGAGGAGAGATGAGAGAGAGAAAAGAGGAGAAGGAGGGGAGGAAAGACAGAACGGAGAGAGAGTGAGAGACGAGAGAGAGGAAGATGAGAGAGGAAGAGAGAGGGAGAGTGAGGGGGGACGCGGAGAGAGAGAGAGTGAGACAGAGGAGAGGAGAGAGGAGGATGAGATAGAAGAGAGAGAGCAGAGAAGGGGGAGTGAGAGAGGTGGGCGAGGAGGGCGGGAGTGAGGGGAGAGAGCGAGAGACGAGAGAGAGAAGACGAGAGAGACGAGAAAGCAAAGAGATGAGAGATGGAGAGAAGAGAGAGAGAGAGGGAGAGAGAGGAGGAGAGCAGAGAGAGGGAGAGAGAGGGAGAGGAGGAGAGAGAGAGAGAGAGACGAGAGAGAGGAGAGAGGAGAGAGAGAGAAGAGAGAGAGAGAGAGAGGAGAGAGAGAGAGGAGAGAGATGACGAGAGAGCCGCGCTATGGAGAGGTGGGGATGGAGAGAGAGTAGGCCTACATAAACATCTCATTCCTTTGCTGGCAGTCACGTGGCTAGCAGCCTCCCTCCCTGAACGACCACCTCTATACAACGGCCTGTTGCTATACAACAACAAGCGAAGATGCTGGTGCGCTCTACAGACAGGGGGTGACAGGAGCTGGGGAGGAGAGGGAGAGGGAGAGAGGGGGAAGAATTTTCTGTTCCCAGGGAAGTGTTGTGATACTGAGACTGTTTGTCTGTTACGCCTCCGCCTCTTCACTCTGTTTCTCTTTCTTTTTCTTTTGTTTTGGTGTGCGTGTGATTAAGTTATAATGCAAAAGAAGAGAGACAAGGAGCAAACCGGGAAGGCAGAACGCACACTCGCAACAACATACTTCTAATCCTAACAACAATGCTAATGCCACATCGAACAGACAAGCAATAAAGAAAATGCGAGAGAGATGGAGGGAAGCCGAGCGAAGGAGATAATGAAGGAAATAGAGACAATAAATGGCAAAACAGAAAACAACCCCAACATTCGAGGAGGAGCCAGCCCCCCCCCCTCCCGCCACAAGCGTTCTGCGGGAGAGGCGTCTCGGAGACGGCAACTCCGCCGTTCGCGTATTCATCCATCCATCAATCCATCCGCATCCAGTCAGCAACGCGGGCACTCCCACGAACGCCTCCGGCTGTTGTTCCCTACCTCCCCTTTTCTATTCTTCCTCCTCCTCTTCCCCGTATCCCACATACCCCTCCACCCACCCCCCTCCTCCTCCCCGCCAAGAAAAGGG